AGGACCCACTCAGGACGGAGGCACCATCTTCGTCCACGAGGCTGTACCCCAGTTGCTCGGCAAGATCCGGCTCCTCATCACCGAAGGCTGCGTCGTGAGGAGCCGGGCCCAAAGGATGGAGGCTGGGAGGATGATGGGACGCTTGCGTCTTCCTCTCGGCAAGCTGGCGAAGGCGCTCCTTGTACATGCCCCTCTCTTCCCACAGAACCTCCAGCTGACCACGTGCTTCGGCAAGCTGCTGCTGGAGCTGCTCACACCGGTCCTGCAAGACTGCCTTGCTGCTCCCCGTCGTCAGCTGGACACCGTCCTGGAAGCTGCGACTCGCGTCTTGCAGTCGCTGCACCTCCGACTGCTGCTCGGCGGCATGGGACTCGGCCTGCGCCAGAAGCTCCTTGGTCTTGCCATGCTCTGAAGCTTCTGCCTCCAAACACTTTGCAAGCTCCTGGCACCGCTCCTGGCACTTGCCGTGCTCGTCCTGCAACTGCCCGAGCTCCTGCCGCAGCTCCACCACGGCTGACTCCGCAGCTGCAGCGCGAGTTGCGAGCTCTTCGCACCGCTCCTTGCACTTGGCGCTCTCGCCCTGCGCAGTTTGGAGCTCCGCGGTCTTGCAGGACACCTCCGCCTCCGCCGCAGCCAGGCGATTGCGTAGCTCTCGGCCCTCCTCCTGCGACTTGTGGAGCTCCGCTTCGAGGCGCCGGCGCTCGGAGCTCTCCTCCTCGAGCTTCTGCCGCTTTCGCGCCGTCTCCTGGCTCTCGGCCTCGGCCTGCACGAGCCGCTCCGCGAGCTCCCGGCAGCGGTCGCGGATGTAGGGCCACTGCAGGTACTCAGCCGCCCACTGCTCCCGCTCCGCTGCTGAGCCGCGCGGCGCTCCTCGCAGGAGCCCCACCTCGGAGAAGCGGCAGGCGTAGCCGTTCCAGTACTTGCCATTCTCGGCCGCCCCGTGCCGGAGCAGCGCCTCGCAGAGGAGCTCCGGCCTCGTCTCCTTGCCTGCGAGCTCCGTTGCGAAGCGCTCCCGGCACCGCTGGAGCCAGGCCTCGGCTTCCTGCGGCTGCGAGGCCCAGAGCTCCTCCAGCCGATCGCTCAGCGCCTCAAGAGCTCGGCTCGCCGCGCTAGCACTCGGATGAGTTGGATGACAAGCAGCCAAGCGGGCGAAGGCGTCGATGACGGTGGCCAGGGACCATCCGGCAGGGACTGCAGTCAGCTCATAGAGAACCTGCTGCGGCATGGCGGCGTGCCTCCTCGGGAGCTGCGAGATGGGCACAAGGGGACCTCAGATTTGCCTTTGAGCTCTGCTTCGCCTTGCTGGATCGATCTCTCAAAAGCACATAGCCCTAACCTGCCACGCCCTCAACCCTATAAACCTCTGCCTAAGCCACGGCACTCAAAAGCTTAGCTTTCAACAGCTTCGCGGGCCTCTGCCGGACCGCGACTGCCTTAGGGAAGGGGACGCGCTGGGGTTCGGGGCTTCGGGCTTTGGGGAGGGTTTTGCCACCACGGTGCTTTTGTTGTTCTATCGGTTTTGCACGTGGTTGTGTACAAGAATCTTAGCAGGGATATTCCACAAGAGAGGTTCGCTAGCTGCGGGATCTTCGATCTTCAGGGCTAGAGATGCTTACGGGAGTTTCGGGTTCAGGGTAGGTCGACAAACCGACTCAGCTGCAGCCGCAACCGTCCTGCAGCCCGAACGGCCCACAAAACACCGCAATTCAACCCAGAAGCGACCCCTCAAGCCCTTGGATACAAAGCCCCGGCTAAACCCTGCCCAATCACGCTAAAGCCCCGAACCCCGAACTCCAAACCTTACAC